GATTCGGCTGCCAAATGTCCACCGAATTGAATCAGCGACCGAAGCTTTGCACAAACTGTAGGAGCATCTGCCCAGCTTCCCCTACTTATGCAATCTCAAGGCACCTCTCTATAAGAAGGGAAAGTTGGAGTCCCTGCTTACAAAGACCTAGCCTGAAATCTCCATGGTAGTGTCTCTGTATAGAGAAAGCTGCACGAGTACTGGTGTAGAGACATGGGGCCCTGACTTGCACTGGATCCCGCTCTGACCCATGCTTCCCATAGAGGCATGGGTCCCCACAGGAACGGGTTTAAACTTGCTCAATTGATGAGTCATTAGGTCATCTGCTGTTTTCCTCTTTAACCTCATAGGCTATGGCTACTAGTCCCCTGTCACCTCTTACCATCCTCTCCTGCTCCTCCATCCCTCCCTCTTGCCTGCCCTACCGCCTTTGTGTTCCTGAGGAGCCCCGCCATTTCCCTTCCTCACCAGACTGCACCCTGTGCTAAACATTAAACAGTAATGCATTACTGGTATAAATATACTTATCCTTTAAACATTTAAATGTTCACATCCCTAGTTTGAATGCTGTTTTGTGGAGGGAATAAATATGAAAGGATATTGCTGCTTCTATTTCACTGAAATGATATAATACCACTAAAAGATGCATTGCAAATTTTTTATTTGATAATCCCGAAACATGAGAGAAAAAAAAATTATTTGATGTTAATCTATGAGTGAAACTGCCTCATTCAGCTGAGCTATGGAAATAGCAAGGTCACTTGCAAACTCTGATCTTTCCGATGACTATTTGACATTATTAAATGTGTTTATGCTTTTGGTTACTAAGCTAACACATATTTCTTATAACTAAGTGAAAGTCTGCCAGTGAGGACACAGTTAGCAGCAGGATTTTATTGTTGAGTCAAATGAATAAACTGTATAACAATATTTTTAAAAATGTGCTGACTCCACAGAAAAATAGAAGTGTCTGAAGAGTTGAGGGAAGGCAGAGGAGAAACAATCTAATCTGTGTGATGATATTACCTTTGAATTTATATAGACCAGATATTTAATTGCAAATATAAGATTGCAAGAATTCAATTTTGTTTAACAAATGACTAATCATTATTATCCACAGATGTTTGCTATTTGCATTTGAATCAAAACTTTTTAATGTATCCTTGGATTTTTTAAGAAAAAAATGTTCTTAATGTTCTCTGATAACATTTGATATCTTCAACAAGGTACTTGGTTTTGAGAACCAAAAGTATGCTAGTTTTAATATTACAAACAAGTATACTGGCATTCTAAATACAGTACTGTATACAGTTAGTATCAACACACACTGGCATCAAGCATAGGTGCAAAATGTAGCTACCTAAGACAGCAAACTTCAGGCGTATGTGATAATTTGATAAGGCCATCCATCCAGGAAACAAGTTTATAAATAGGGGCCAAGGTGCAGAAGACAACGGAGACAATGAAATGGAGCAATCTGCTTTTTGACTTGGGAATGCATGTGGGTAAGAAAGTTCTTCAATCAGGACACCAATAGACCTGGAATATTTACTTCAGCGCTCCAAAGTTACCCGCAAAATTCTGTGAAGCCATTAGAATCCTATACAACCAGGCAGAGGGCAGTTCTTTTTAAAACAAATGTGTAAAACTATTAGAGCCATCCCTTGGGACAACAGAGTCCACACCACAACCACTATCTTGCATTCACCAGAAGTCTAAATCATTACAATTATTATTACTGATATTTGCTCAGTTCTTATATTTCACAAAGTGAACAGACTGGAGAACAGTAATACAGCTGTTTGTGGTGTAGCTCTGGTACAGGTAGGAATCTAATGGCATCTTCCATTATTAAAAATGTTTCTGATGCACATGTGTTATTATGAGACAGCTGTCATATGGGAAAAGACAACTGAAAAAGAGAGTCTTGACAATTCCACTGCTTTCTGACTTCCCATGTTTCTAATATGGAGTTACATATCTGGACTTCTGGGAAGAGATCCCTGTTCTCATCTCCTATCCAGGAGTGAATTTTCCAAGGACATATCATGCACAGGTTCCTGTGGTGATGACCCCATTTCTTCTTCTTCTTCTACCTTCCCTCTGAGTGGCTGTGAGGATACACTGATATAAGGAAGCAAAATAGATCATCCAAACAGAAAAAGGTGATGAAAAAGATTTTTCCAGCTCTGGAACTGGTTTTGGTACAAAGGTCCTGGATGAAGAATGCCTGAACACCATAGTTCTAATCAGGAAAAAGGAGGCTCCCTTGCTGTTGTGCATTCATACCATGGGGAAAAACAAACTGCATCTCAGATCTGAGTACCAGCCCTCCAGATCTGCCACAGCCCCAACCTGGGCCCAGGGCCAGAGCCAGAGCTCCCCAAGCTGCTACTGCTGCTTAGAATCAGCAGCAGCACCGTGCATACCAGTCAGGGGTCAGGGCTGTGGTCTGGGATCAGGTTTCAGTGGACACCCAGGGGCAGGGACTGGGTGGAAGGTGGGGCAGCAGCACAGATCAGGGGATGGGGCTGCAGCACAGTGAGGAGATGGGGCAGCGGCACATACTGTGCCCTGATCTATGCTACTTCCCAATCCTCTGACCCACACTGCTGCCCCATCCCCTGACCTGTGCTTCTGATTCAGCAGCAGCATGGATCAGGGGATGGAGAAGCAATGCACTGAGGGATGGGACAGCAGCACACACTGGTGTCCCATCCCCTGACCCAAGCTGCTTTCTGATCCCCTACTCTATCAGCAGCATGCACTGCTGTTCCACCCCGTGATATGCTGCTCCTCGATCCTGTGCCCTACACTTCTGATCCGGCTACAGTATGAGTCAGCAGTGAGCATGGGGGATCAGGCATTAGCATGGGTCAAGAGATGGGATAGCAGTGCATGTTGGGGATCAAGTGGTTGCTTGGGTTGGGGATCAGGTGGGGGCAGGAAAGAGAGGGGCAGGCAGGGTGGGGTAACTGACAGGTTGTGGAGGGCCAAGTGGTAGGGGAACAAAGTGAGGGGGATAAGGTGGCTGCCCCTCTCTTCTTTCCCCCAGTTGAGGACAAATTTAAGATGACCCTGCAAGAATTAGATTCTACAAATTGAAAATTATTAATTTATTATAATTTTCCATGTATAGAATCTAATTATTGGGGCAGGGGGGATTTATTCTTAAATTCAAAGTCACCTCAGATTTGGGTAAATACAGTGTTTAACTGCAAGCTCAAGAGACAAATCTTTTGGTTTCTGTAACAATTCTTGGATGTCTGCATACTGCTATGATGAGTATAAATGATTAGATAAATATATAGAGACAAGTAATAAGGAGGATCCAGGAATGTGTTGTCAACTCCTACACTTAACAGCTATAATCTTCTGTCAACGGCAGTGATCCCTTTTTCATATATTCAAGTTCATTTGAGTTATTTTGCTCTCAGTTAATGAAAAAATATAAGATACAATATTTCAAAACTCATTTCTGAAATTTTATGTGGAATATCTTTAGTGTATCTCACGAAAACAACTCAGAGGGGTCCATAATCTGCTTCTACAATTTCACGATTTTCAAGTGGTTGGCTCCTACAGAATATACCACAATACACTACCACCGGATACTACCTTATGATATATAGAGTCAAATCAAACTCTGACAATAGTTCTCCCAGGACCAGCGCAAAAACATAACAAAAAATTACACTAGTCCTGATTTTTCTTCTGGCATGGTTTACTTGGCAGACAACTTATCACACACACACTGCATCATTACACATGTTTCATCTCTATCTAGATAGGATGAAGTAAAGTAAAATACATAATCTTGTATGTCCCTAGCCACAAGCAGTAATGTGTCTTAAATAATTTCTATTTTCTACTCTAATTTTGTAGCTTGTATAATTAATAATCTAAAATGGATTCAAAGCCAACATAAGCAAAGTTCTTAATGTATATCCTATGGTACAAGTCAACAAATGAAAGGATGTATTCAGGATTACAACCAGCTAGGTATTTTCCAGTGGAATGATTTTAAAATGGAAAGTGTAGTTTCTGCTAAATCAAAAAAAAATCCTTTTTTTTAAATTTTACTCAAGTATGTGTCCTTTCGGCCACAAAAATGATAATTGAAATGAAATAATTAGGTTTTTTTATATTAATTTGAATCTGAATATTTCCATTGGTAGAACTGATCTCGAACAGTGCATTTCAATTAATTTCATTATTAAACTGTATTTCCATATTGAAACATGTTGGGAGCTGTAGTTCTGAGAGCTCATGTTGTTCTTGGTTCCATGACTCTTCTAGATATCCTATACACATGTTCCTGGGGATCAGTTCAATAGTCCACAAGAAGTACAGTAATATTTAGATTTAGGAATATTTTATAGAAAATGGTAAAAAAATGTTTAGCCATTTCTAAAGTGTATTTTTTTTCATGTTTTGTTCAATGAAAACTATCATGTTTTCAACTTTTAGCCTAGAATTGAAACTCAAACAAAGACTGGAATATCAGAATTCTATCCTGCAGGAGTTTCTTATTTTTTATTCAACTCTACTATGTACACTTGTTTATTTGGAATTATATGCCTTATTTCTTCCTATCATTTAAAATATTAAAGAGAAAAAGGAAGAAATAAGGAATTTAAAAAAGGAAACCTACTGAATTGGAATATATTCTCAACAGATGAACACATATATTGTATAACGAAAAATATTCCTCTCTTTTGAGAACATAGCTAGCTAAATGCAAATACTTATATCTCTTCACAAAACTCTTGTACATTCTTATTAGAAAAATTTACTATCAGATATTTTTCCAACATTGTTGAATCATTTCTACTTAGCCAGCATGCCTGAAATCTAGTATTTCTATCCCTAAGGTAAGACAGTAACTCATTCATATGAAATAAACAAGTTGGCAAAAGTATCATATAAGAAACATGTCTTCAGAATGTAATAAGTTGTAGTTCAAGTGCTGCAAAAATAAGTAATAAGGAGTGTCCTACCTATGGTGGTAATAACAGTGCCAGCAAAGAAGAAGGAACTTCCCAAGTCCCAATGACTGGTTTGATTAGATGTGTTTCCTACAGGTATGATTCCTGCGTTTATTGCTGCCACTACTTGCTGCAAATTTAAAAAAAAATTGTCAATATTCATGAAAGAAACAATACTGTTATCATACATTATGCAGTAAATCAACATACAGAAAGTTACTTATTAGATGTATATTTTTACCACTCACTGACCACATCTACAAAGTGCTCTTAGCTGCAGAGTAAAGCATCGCCATCTAAAAATGCAATGCTATTAAGCAGCAGTAAGCCAATTAATGCAGCCATAAAATAGTACTGTCAGGGACAGTACTATCTTATGGCAGGGTGCAGTTGGGGCATAAATTGTACCCAGTCAGGAGGCCAGACTCCTGCCTGTAGCCTAGTCACACAGCTCTGCATTTTCAGCACCCTCATGCCCCAGCCAGCTCCTGCGCTGCCTGACACCACCACACAGAGCCTGGGACTAAACCCCCGTGCCCTCTGACAGCAGGGCAGGAGCGGCCGTGGCATAAACTGCCCCACCCCACCTCAAACTGCTGCTGTCCCAGGCACATGTGTAGATGCTGCACCCAAGAGTAGTTTACTTCAGCTCAAACTGCTCCAGATGATCCTCATTCAAGCCCACTAGAGTCAATTATAAGACTCAGACTTTAGTACGCTTTGAATTATACCCCAACTAAATAAGATAAAATAAGAAGATTTAAGATGTAACCATTTTTACATGCAAAAATGTATGTATTACATAAACATTTTACATTTAGTTTCCTAAATACTGTTCACGTTGTCTCTATAACACTGTGCAAGACAACCAAGATTCAGTTTATAATTTGTAAAAAGTCATATTATCTTATCTATTAATTAAGAACTCATAAAAAGGACAGAAAGTGCAATATTTATATATTATTATTAGAGTTATATCATTATTATGTTTTCACTATTTTAATGAAAATTTGGAATTAAATACTATATTGTAACTATCTATAATTATGGATGTAAGCCTGACTATTTGTTTATAATAAATTATTGACCAAAGGTAATTATTTAAAATATCTTGCTTAAATATTTTAGCAGGGCTAACTACAATGAATGAGCATGAGTTTTGTAAAATCTATATTCTCTTGAGACATCAAAAAATTGCTCAGTTCCTGCAGAGCCATCTAACTGAGATTTCTTATCATAAAAAAGGGAAAAAATAACATTCTTGGGTAGCTGCCTGTTGTGCAGACACATATGAGTATTTATTTCACTGTTAAACATTCAGGAGTGTGCTATTTTAAACTTAAAATAACTCTGTTAGGAAATATAAATTAAGGGTGTTTTGAAACTTTAAACCCATTTTATAATCATGATCATTATAATGGTTATTTGTGTTTTTAAAAACAGAGAAAATGAAGGGTAATATGAAAATGAATATGTAACTAGTAAAGGGTTTGTCTTGATGAGAAACTTGACTAGCAATAAGGTATTCAGCAACAGATATGCCAGACAAGCTCCCACCATGGACATTCTATTCCATAGTAACAGTGACTTTGTTTTGGAATAACTACACCATCCCCACTAAGGCAAAGCAACTATTCCAGAATAAAATTACTATTATTTTGGAATCAATAGGCTCTCCTGCTCTGCTCTGCTCAGCTTACTGGTACATGTGCAACACCACAACTACACTATTTCTGTTCTCGCAGAACAAGCATCTCAGCACAATCTTACACCATATAGACATGTAAAGACTCTCTACACAATAGTCCATTATACCAAAATAGCTATTCCAGAACAAATATGTATCATCTATTTTTGCCCACATAAACAAGATCTTACAGCCAGCATTTTCAATTTTCTGTTTCCAAAGATCAGGAATATAGATGAGCCATTAGGAACCCCACACAGGTTCTATACTAAAATACGGGACATCCTGGTAATGGAGGAATTATCTCAGCAGGTTAGAGTATTAGAAAAAGATACAACAGAGGTATAGATATTTAGAAATATGCATTCCATTCCTGACTTACACAGAAGATAAAAATTCAATAGCTAGTAAGCCAGAGCCTCTAGCCAGAATCTTTGAATAATAAGTGTATGTTCATATATATCTTTATTATATTGATAGTTGAGACAGTAATTTATAACTTTATTGTATATTATTTCCATTATAAAAATGTAATAACTTCAACCTTGTGCAATTCCTGCGTATTCCTCTCATGTTGGAGCTTTATTTCCATAGTTGCCAGAACAAAAAATTAAGCATGAAACCCCCAGTGTAACTATGCAGTAGGACTCTGCGAAGCTTCGGTCCCTGATTCGGTGGCCTAATCTCCGAATCTGAATTGAATCAGAGGACCCTTTAATCTCTCTGAATTGAATCACAACCCTCTGTATCGATTTGGAAAGATTTGAAGATTCAGACATAGACACATCTTTAAATGTTTTTTCTACATACCTCAAGGTACCAGGTGGCTTGTGAATGCTGCAATGCTGGGGCGCATGGAGCGTCCCACAGAAGTGCAATGGGCTTCCCAGCGCACTTGGCAGCAGACCTGGAAGTGAACCAGAAGCACTACTGGTTCACTTCCAGGTCCTCTGGAGAGTGCACTGGGTGCACCCCCCCCCCCCCGGCTCAGTGACTGGTGCCTCCTGGGTCTGGGGGGACACCTGGGGTTCCCCCATGGCCAATGGCTGAGCTGGAGGGAGCAGGCGGGCCCCCTGCGTGCTCCCTAGCAGAACCAGAAGTGGACCAGAAGTAGCACCAAGCATGCTCCTGTGGGATGCTTCATTTGCCCCAGCATGGCAGTGTTCACAAGCTGCACCTCGAAGGTGTATTATCACTGCATTTAAGCCAACTGCTCCACATATGTGTGTACGCTCTGACAGTTAAGTCATCTTTAAAAAAGTTAAACCACCTTCACAGTCAGAAAGTTAGTATGTGTGTATGTGTATGTGTATGTGTGGACTAACTAGTCTCTAGAAGGTGCCACTCTACCTTCTGCCATAGTGTGTGGCAGGGTTTTGATCACAAATACCTGTACTTGGAAAAGGGGTCACATTCCCTACCAGTCTTTTACTTTATCAAGCACAAGATCAGCACAATTTGGGGACCCATTGCTTATTATATCACAGTTTGTATTGCATAAATATTTTGTAAGAGCAATTTGCATATGTTCAGGCAATTAAGTCTAGCCATTCTAAATGCAACAGATGCAAAAAGTTTATAGCACTGTCTACTGGCATTGAAAACCAAGGCCAAACTAAAGGATGCAGAAGCATTACACCAAGCCATCCCTCAGGATTCACTCTTTCATGATGCCCACAGCAGTAGATGCTTCCATTCCTTGTTTTGTGATCCCAGAAGAAAGGCTCTTTTGCTGATCTCCCAGCCTCAACATCAACGGTTGCCCAAAGCAGCACGGTTTCTTCCTTTTGCTTTGTGAAGAGGGGGGAGAAGCTGCTTTTCTAGGACTCCCCTCTGGCTTCAGAAAAAAAGAGGGGGAGCCAGTTGGTGCTGCAGGCACTCAAATTTGTATTTGGTCAGAGGGGCAGGGCGTGGAGGCGGACATTAGGCTGGGGGCTTTATGCCATGGTAAAGCTAGTTAATCCAGTCCTGCTAAAAACTTTTCAGGTGATCATGTCATTCACGTTTATATATGTGTATCTTAATCTGTAATGTTTGAGAATCCATTAAAGCTACCATTTTCATTACTACAGTTCACTATAACAGATCCCTGCTTTACAAAATCCGGTCCTTGAAGAAAATGGTACAACTTGAAAACACTTCCAGTCACAAAGAGCCAAATGATGCCAGCTTGCGTTACCTGCTTATTACATCTTGCTATTGGGCACCATCAGGTTTTCCCCGGCACTATCCCCGAGGGCTCAGAAGAGCTTCCCAAAATCATGCACAAAATTATTTCATTACCCTCTTTCAAATCCGTCTTTACTATGATGTCTACTGGAAACTTGACAAAAAGCCTCCTTTCATAATGCTGAGTACTATCTCATTGTTTCCTTGAACTTGAACTCCTCCATCAATCTGTCCCCCAAATCGATCTACTGTTTTTGTTGTTAATCAGATTATAAAGGCAGGGACCATTATTTTTGTCCTGAGTTGCCACAGCACTAACACACAATTGGATTCTAGTCCATGAGAATCACTAGTCATCAAAGACAGACAACTAAAAAAAGTAATAAAATTCCAAGCTCAAGTAAATCCACATAGTTCCATTAAATGTAAACCTAGCAAATCAATTTAAAGCATCTGCTAGTCTTCAGCATTTCTCTTTCTAATGTCTCTGTCATATACAAGATATAGCAATTTAAAACAGTGGATATAAACTGGGTACAACACTGAGTGAAAAACCTGGATAAAAAATACAGTTGCCATTGACTTCATGAAGACCAGGATTTCACCATTAAGGAATAAATAAGTGATTCACTGTCAATGCTTATCTATTTTGAGTTTGTTTCTCAATTTACTTCTCAGTCAGTTGCTTTGCTTTCCAAATGATGCCTTGTAGTTATAATACTGAAAGCATAGCCATTTAATTTTCATAAAACTAGCAACTCTGTTATTCATAGGTGTAGCCTGACTTGTGTGGCAGGGTTTTCATAGTTTCATAGTATAGTTTCATAGTAACGATGGTCAGGAGGGACCTGAACAGATCATCTAGCCTGCCCCCTGCCACAGGCAGTAATGAATGCTGGGTTCACAAGACCCCAGACAGGTGATCATCCAACCACCTCTTGAATTTGCCCAAGGTAGGGGCGAGGACCACTTGCCTAGGAAGTTGGTTCCAGATTTTGGCCACCCTAACTGTAAAATATTGCCTTCTGATCTCTAACCTAAACCTATTCTCCATCAGCTTATTTCCATAGTTCTTTGTCACCCCAGGTGGTGCTGAGGAGAAAAGGGCTCTACCTATTTGCTGTTGATCTCCCCTGGTAGGCAGCCACCAGGTCCCCCCTCAGCCTCCTCTTGCCAACGCTGAACAGGTTCAGGTCCTTCAGTCTCTCCTCATAGGGCCTGTCCTGCTGCCCTCTCATCAAGAGGTGGCCCTCCTCTGAACCCTCTCCAGGATG